GGGTTCAGTCCCCAGTACCTCCTCCAAATAGAAATAAATAAATAAACCCAATTACCTCCCCCTCATAAAAACAAAGCAAATAAAAAAAAGAAATAGAGAAATTATGTGCTTGGAAAAAGTAGAAGCCAGAGTTTTCTGAATTTTGTTTTTTCAGTATGTATAATATCTACCTATTTTTCTTTCAGATTGTATCACTACTTCTTCAACTCTAGGAATCTTAAGTACAAAGGGTCTTCAACATTTTAAAATAAATATTCTAGTTTTTGATAGCCGTAAATATATATATTATCAATTCTAGTCACTACTTCCAGTGTGTATATGTGGAGTGGGGGGAGGGGGTTCCCTGCACGCATCCAAGGTATTCTCCAGACATCAGCTGATACCTACCCAGAGATAGTGTCAGATCCCACAGGTTAAGAGCTCAGTCCTGCAAGACTGCCCCCTCCAGTCACACCAGATGTCAGTTGAAAGCCCAGGTTATCACTGGCAATAGATTGGAGATTTCAATGACCCCTTTTCTTGGGTTTGATCAGTTTGCTAGAGTGGTTCACAGAACTCAGGAAACCTGTTTATTCACTAGATTGCTGGTTTATTATAAAAGGAAACAACTCAGGAACAGCCAGAGGGAGGAGATGCACAGGGCAGGGCATGGGGAAAGGGCATGGACCTTCCATGCCCTGCTATGTGCATTTCACTCTCCCCACACCTACATGTGTTCACCAGCCCAGAGGCTCCCTAAACCCCATCCTTTGTGGTGTTAATGGAGACCTAATTACATAGGCATGATTGCTGAAATCATCAGCCACTGGTGATTGATTTTTTTTATTGAATTATAGTTAATTTACAATGTTTTAGTTTATGGTATATAACAAAGTGATTCAGTTGTACATATGTGTATATTCTTTTTCATATTCCTTTCCATTATAGTTTATTATATAGTATTGAATATAGTTCCTTGTGCTATACAGTAGGACTGTATTGCTTATCTGTGTTATATAATGTAGTTTGTATCTGCTAATCCCAAACTCTTAATTTATTCCTCCTTCCCCTTCTCCATTGGTAGCCATAAGAGTATTCCTTGCCATTGTAGTCACTGAAGACAGTTCAGATAGTGTTTTGACAGAGATTTCCCAAAATACTAAGAACCAGAGAGAGAGAGAGAGAAAACCTTTCCTAGTCCTTGCAGATTTGCTCTATGTTAGGACTCCTCTTCAGCACTTACCTAGGTTTGCACTGAGCCCAGAGCTCAGCCCAAAGTGAGAGATTGTGGTCGTCTCATTTAGTTTTTGAGCAAGCACCTTGTCCTGGACATGTGTCTGGCTTTCTAAATTCCTTGAAAACATGGGTGAGTTTGAGGTTCTAATTTCCCAAGGGAACACTCTCCCTGGCTTTTCATCCTAGGCATTAGGTGGTCTGTTGTGTGTCTCAGCAATGATCTTTTATCCCAGGCAGCTGTGGGTTGTTGGTCAGCCTTACAATGTTTTCAAGCAATGCACTCAGCTTTTCCAGCCTGGGGGATATCCAGGTTAGGGAAAACAGAGCGAAGCACCTTACGTTAGTCCTTTAGGTAGCTCCCATTGAGATTTAGAACAGACATAACACAATCATTTGGGAATAAGGTCTGCTCTGCTCCCTCTGGAACGAAGGACCAGGATCCCACATTGGAAATGAGGACTGCGGTTTTTGTGACTGCTGCCAGACTGGGGAGGGGTGTGGCAGGGACAGGTGAAATCACCACAAAGCTTTCCTAGATTTTAAATTCCTTTCTCTTAATTCAGTGATTGCTTGATTGCTGTAAACTTTTGACTTTTGACTGTTTTACAGAGTTCTTACGAAGTTCTGGCAGTTTGCTTGTTTTTCAGTGTTTCTGTCAGGAGAGCTTAGAGCTGCCTACTCTGTCATTTTGTTGTTGTCACTTCCCTTTTCGGCTGTTAAACTATTAAGGAATTAAATGTGACTTTTATGTCAAGTCACATCAGAATTAGAGCTGTTGAGGAACAGACTCACAGACAGAATACAGACTTGTGGTTCCCAGGGCGGAGACGGGTGGGAAGGGATAAACTAGGAGTTTGAGATTTGCAGATACTGGCCGCTATATATAAAATAGAGAAACAAGTTTATACTGTATATATTCAGTATCTTGTAGTAGCTCATGGTGAAAAAGAATATGAAAATGAATATATGTATATTCATGTATGACTGAAGCATTGTGCTGTACACCAGAAATTGACACAACATTGTAAACTGACTATATTTATACCTCAATGAAAAAGAAGAGAAAAAGAATTAGAGCTGTTGAATAAAAATGACTTTCAAATGAGTTTATATGGAAGTAGTGTCGTAGGACTTACCGTTTTTTCCCCTTATTAGGCCTGCTCGTTTCACGGGTGTGTCCTTACGTAGCTTCTCCCTTTGTTGTGACCTGTTAAGCCGGGTTTGCCACACAGCAGTAACTCACTGTAAGGATGCTTTAGAAAATCATCTTCATGTTATCGTTGGTACACTTATACCCCTTGTGGATGATCAGATGGAGGTTCAGAAACAGGTAATTTCCCAAATCGTCTTCAAAATGACATTTGAAATAACATTGATAAAAGTATTCTTGGGAGGAGCTGTTTTATATTTCCTTGGTGTAATCAGTAATTTTAGTGAAAATATTCTTTGGAAAATGGTGGAAAAAATTTCTCGATAAATTAATCCTTGTAATCATTTAATTGCAGAGCAGTTGGCAATTTTGATCTGATAAATAACCTGATTTCTGTCTCTTAACTTAGGCTGAATTATAGAGTTAGTCAAAACGAAGGATGCAGTTCACCCACTGTGATGGTGTCTGAGATATTACTTATATAAAATGTTTCAGTAATATTGGCAGTTTTATACCTCAGTGCCCATCCTGTAGTTAACACCTTACGTATTTGTTGAATTATTTGGAAGCACAGAAACAGTAGTAGCTGGGTGTCTTTGAAGTGATAGAGAACATTTTATGTGAACGAGGTTAGTAGAGTTTGTATCGTTTATTATAGTGGGTTTGGTTGTTTTGCTTTAAAGTATAATTAATCCATTTCTCCTCTTTTGATTTTTTTTCTTTTTAAATTATGTTCAGGTATTGGACTTGTTGAAATACTTAGTGATTGATAACAAGGATAATGAAAACCTATATATCACGATTAAGCTTTTAGATCCTTTTCCTGACCACGTTGTCTTTAAGGATTTACGTATTACTCAGCAGAAAATCAAATACAGTAGAGGACCCTTTTCACTCTTGGAGGTAATAATTATTCCATCATCTTACTATTTTGTATTAGAGAGGATAGTGGTATTTTTGGAAACCTCTAATGCTCTAAAAACAAAAACCAATCTTTTTTAAAAAATGATACTGACAGGCGTATGTAGAATAGATAAACAAGATTATACTGTATAGCACAGGGAAATATACACAAGATCTTGTGGTAGCTCACAGTGAAAAAAAATGTGACAATGAATATACGTATGTTCATGTATAACTGAAAAGTTGTGCTCTACTCTGAAATTTGACACAACATTGTGAAATGACTAACTCAATAAAAATACGTTAAAAATAAGAAAAAACAAAAAAATGTAATCTACCCTCTTAAATAAAAAATCAAATATGCTGTAACAATCTGAAACTCTAATTGCATTATCATGAGAGAGTCTGTTAGAATTTAAATGATTAAAACATTGTAGGATTTGAAGTGGAAGAAGTAATTTATTTCTACCTTGTTTGGTAGTAACAGTGATATGAATTAGTGTCTGTAAAAGGCGGCACTAACTGATTTTTTTATTGCTGTTAGGTTTTATTCTACAGACTCAACCAATATGTGTCAAAAGTTACATTTTTATCTAATTTTTTCTTTTAGGAAATTAACCATTTTCTCTCAGTAAGTGTTTATGACGCACTTCCCTTGACAAGGCTTGAAGGACTGAAGGATCTTCGAAGACAACTAGAACAACATAAAGATCAGATGATGGATCTTATGAGAGCATCTCAGGGTACGAACTTTAACAACTTCGGTTATTTGTACCCATTTCTTTCTGAAAGAATCTTTTGTGAATTCTTGTTCTTGATTTAATTCTCATAGACTTAGTCTAGACTCTCATCATTTAGTTCAGACCCTCATTCTTTCTTTCTTTTAAAAAAAATTTTTTTTTTTAAATGAAGGTACTGGAGATTGAACCCAGGACCTCATGCATGCTAAGCACGTGCTCTACCACTGAGCTGTACCCTCCCCCAGACCCTCATTATTTCTCGTCTAACCATGAAAGACTTCCCAAATGGTCTCCTCACCTTGAACTACTCCCATTTTATCCATGCTCTACACCTCTGCTGGAATGATTTCTCTAAGTCTAAATAATCATGTTATTCTGCTGCTTAAAAACATGTTAACCACTTGCTACTGCCTGAAAGAAAAATTTGAATTCCTTTGAGCTAGGCATACAAGGTAATCTATCTCTGTCTACTG